GGCCCTTCAAAGCATTATTTAACTCTGTTTGGGTAAATCCTATGCGAACACTTGCAGGGCACTCCATACGCCATTTATCACCATTAGTAGGGAGGTGCTCACTACGCAATCCTTCGTCATTCTTCGGAGAAGCATGGAACCCGCTACACTCTAGGAGTAATTTTTTTGAACTTTTTTAATGCTGTGGCTGAATACAATGAAGAATTGCGCCTTTTGCAATGGGGGTTGCAGAATTTGACGATCCAATCATTAAGCAATTCACAATATATGGCATTGGTTGTTCCTTTGGGAGTCCTAAATGCTTTATTGCTCATATTAACGTGACTCTTTTCCCGACAAAGACTGCCTATGGCCAGTTTGCAATGAAGTTTCAACGCTGACGCGACACTGTCGCGCAAGAGACCCCCCTTGAAATGTTGTTGTTTTCTTGACGTTTTTTATTTACTTAGTTTTTTTCTCATTTTCCTTGATAGTGGTTACAAACACTGGGGCTGGCGGTCGTGGCCGCAAAGAACTGCGGCTCACGCAGACCTTGTGATCTCATAACGGCTTTCACTCTTAACCTGGGAAGAAATCTTGCCTTGGGTGACCTTTGCCTATAATGCCACTCAGCAATTAAGTGCTGGAATGACACCACCGAGTTTAATCTATTGTCCCGAAGTGATTACCAAGTTGGACAATATAATGCTGCAAGAGTGTTGGCTCGTATGCCAAAAACGACTAATTTACTCACGACGCCTAGCAATTCCGACAGCTTACCTAGGAATTTCTAACCAGCAGCATTAACATGCGAAACGCTACAACACAAATATTTACCTACACACCAGGTGTTAGGGTAAAGGTTTGGATCTGAATACGTCAACGCGGACACTCTCAAAAACTGCTAAAAAATTACTTTGGGCCACACAGAGTCACCTGCTTCTTGAGCGACGTCAATTATGAAGTTACTCTCTACAGTATTGCAGTTCCAGACACCGGAAGCATTCACCCAATTCGTACGTGTCATCCGGATGAAACCCTGCCTCTCCAGCTAACTCTGGTTTGTGGTGTGGGGGCCAGTGCATATGTGCGCACTTTTCTAAGTAGACGGCCTGCACTGCGCATCGGGACGATGTCTCTTTCGAAAGGAGACAAATGCCACACCAGTGCTAAGGCGAAAATGAATACAACAGCGCACGCACGTATGAACATGTTCATACAGAAGGTAGTAAGAATAAAGATGAGGCTCCGCCACGGTGGTGTAGTGGCTAAGGTACTCGGCTGCTGACGCGAAAGTCGCGGGATCAAATCCCGGCTGTGGCGGCTGCATTTCCGATGGAGGCGGAAATATCATAGGCCCGTGTACTCAGATTTGGGTGCACGTTAAAAAACCCCAGGTGGTCGAAATTTCCGGAGCCCTTCACTACGGCGTCTCTCATAATCATATGATGGTTTTGGGATGGTAAACCACACAAATCAATCAACAATAAAGATGAGGAGCGCTCTGGTACGTGGTAATAGGAAGACTGAGCTGCTGCTACTGCATCTCTTTGAAACCTTCCAGTCTTTTTTTCGAGACAATATGAATAATGCGAAAATCATGTTTTATACGTCGTCAAATTTTTACCCCGAGACAAACGCTGCACATTCCCTGGACCACGTGCGCCGAGATACGAGTATGCGTGCCTCAAATTGTTGACAGGTTACACCTACTCAGAAACAGCGAGAATGCACACTAATAGTTTAAATGTGCGAGTGCTGATCCGACCAATGACAAGAACAATGTTAAAGATCGTACCTGAAATGAAACTGAAATATTCTGTGTGGCAGTTAGGTTATAACAATAACTGGGATTTTTTAGCGTCCTGAAGCCACAATATGATAGACAACGCAGTGGAGGGCTGTGTAAAATTCAACCATCTGGTGTTCTTTGGGTGAAATGACATCACATAGTGTATGGAACTCAACATCACCTGTATTTAATTGTGACTGCAACTACCGGAATCGAACCCGTGGCCTTCAGAGCAGTAGCTGAGTGCCTTCACAACGAATACACTGCGGTGGATGGCAGTTAGGTATTCTCTGCCCAGGAGGCGCTGCGAAAAAACCCGCCAACAGCAGCCTCATCCCAGCCTTGGCGCTAACTGGATAGTGAAAAAAGTGCAGCTCGTAAGCTAAGATGCATAGGTGACGACAGGCCCGCTTCCTTCAGTTTTGTCAATTCACGCTTTCCTAAATATCGAGAACCTGGAAAAGTTGTGTCATGCATCCACCTTTCAAAAAGAAAACGAACTAAGCGAAACAAACTACGTATACAACAGCACAGTTGTAGTTATTTCGGTGCTCGGCAACACGTTGTTAGAAGGCCTAATTGTATATGGGTGATTCCACGAGAGATCGTGCAGTCACCCATATACAACTATATAGACGCGGGTCCAAAAGCTGATATTTTAGATTTTATTGAGTATATTATATTTCGTGTACCTTTCACCAGGTGCCCGAAAGTCAACTTTGTTTTATTATTAAGGCATAACTTACGAAAAAAAAATATCAAGCTTCACCAACATGGAGGCACCAACTTCGTCACCTGTCGTTTTCGAAAATCGCATATGCTATAAAAAACAAATAATTTGGTTTCAAGGAAGATATTTTTTACCTGAAATGCATGTCTAATGAAGAATGAATTCATACGGTTTCAAGTTTGTAGATGATAAGAAAATAGTTTTTCGAAATGTCTAATTTTGCGACAGTTTGAAATAAGTTAGGTATTCTCCATTTGTTTTCTCCGAAAGTAATGCAAGGAGCGTTTTCAAACTTGACACAATTTAAGGATATAGTGTGTTCATTAGGTACATAAATTATTGCTGCCGTAGGGCAAATGTAATTTTTATATATTGCCTCAAAATTTTGATATTAGCAAAAGTGTACTCCAGTGAAATTTGAATAATAAAAAAAACTTATCTTCGATTTTCCTTAAAATCTCGTAAATAGACAACCGAAGGCCATCATACAGAAATATAGAAAACATGCTGCATTATTTTGTTTTTAGCGACAATATTCGTGGTACAAATCAGAGCTTTTCGAGAATGCGCTGATAAGTTGAGAAATCAAGAAATCGGAACGGAAAAGCGGCTATAAGCTTCAAACGGGAGTAAACGTGACCGCATTTTGTGAAGAAAGGCTCTTTTAGCACTGTGACAAATACGTACCAATGAAGGCGCATTTATGTTCCTGATAACACAGCTCTAATGGAGGAAATCTTTGACATTGTAACTCAGTTGCAAAACATCTGTCTATATTTGAAGATAAATTCAAACATGAAAATGTTCCAACGCAAGTGTTGGATCTCGCTAGAAAAAGCATATGCGCTTAAAGTACCCTCACTGGTATTTTGGTGGTGACTGCGTGAAGCAAGAGATGCGCTCAAAATTGGTGCATCCTTTGCAGATCACATTTAGCAGTACGTGACGCTAACAAAACACGACCACGATCAGTGCCCTTAGATGTGCTTAGCAAATATGCCAAGAACGTACGCCTGGAACAGGTGCTAACAATTTTCACTGACTCTTCTTAAACTGACGGATTGTTTCTAGCTCGTCTGCAGTTACACACAGCAGCTTGACATTCTTGAGCTTCGCGCTCATTTGCGCCACCATTAGGGATTCTGACCTAATCACAGCTGAGCTTGCCGCTCGGAGGTTGTAGAGCGTAGCCTGATGCTTTAGTAGGCCACCAACGCCGTCACAAGAGTTCTCGCCATGTCCTGTGGCCAAGAAATCCACTTTGTCGATATATTACCTTCCTGACATAACTCGAACAACTGGTACTTGTTTTTGAAGTGACTGCATGCACCATCAGAAACATACGTAACATGCGTGTCAGGCTTAAGTTGTTCCTTGATATAGTTGTGGATTATTTGTAGAGCGAAACAGGCATGTGCAGCATCATGGCATGTGTCATCACTGATGACGGCAAAAGTTTGAATTGATTGCTTCCTTGTGACGACACACGTGAATATAGACACCTGTCTTTTGTGCCGGTGATACGACTGTACCTTATTCGGTAAAATGGCTGTCCCATTTTCGGCGAAATCAAAGTGAAAAATGCAAAACTTTTTTTCTTGGTTCTCTTTCACCTGGCGTATTGCTGATTCTTGAATTGATCTTATGTTATCACGGGTAATCCACTTCGCGAACCGTAGACTTAGCTCTCGCAGAAAAGCACTTGCCTGGGCTGTTTTTTTACTAGGTCGCCATTTTCCCATACTGCATAGGCTACCTCAATATCTTCAGGGATTGCTAAACATGTGGCTGTCAGAGCGTCCTCCTTAGCACAATACTCACAATGGCCTAAAAAGCAATCACTTGTAGGGGAGCTGCAAAGACATAGTTCTTTCAAGAAGTCCGCCGTGTAGGCACCATCGGTGACGTCTTGTAGGGCAGAAACACACTTCGTGGCATTAGCACAGTATATACAAAGGCACACTTCTTGGTGTGGTGCAAGAAGAACCCACTTCGGCCTCAGTGAATAAAACTTTGAAAGCCCAATAGACGTGTTCGGATTAGCTTCTCTGAAGCGACGGTGAGCCTCTCGCACCGAACGGGTCATAAACCTTTTTGAAACAAGCTTCTTTTTTTCGTCAATGATAACAGATATGTTTATTATTGTTTCATGGGGCCGTAGAAAAATGAGTCCGACTATTTGACATGGCTTTTCGCGAAACATAGTTGACGTTAGCGCAACACAGCACAAAACAGGGAATGGCGCCTGACGAACATTTCTTACAGGGCATTTGCTATGACGCATTTGGTGAGTTTATACGCAGTCGGGAGAAAGTTCGACCGTCATGCAATTGTAATGCATTTGCATGTACCAACGGACGCGCACGCACAGTTTAGTTAGACTGTCGCAAGTGTTCGTGATAAATCTCGCGTGATGCGGCAATCACTTCACTCAGGCAGAGTTTTTTGAATAGGCGCAGGTAGGGACGCGAACATATGCGCCGGAGCACACGGTCGTTCTTAAGAGTTCCAAGCGCCGAGGGCCCCCACAATGACGGCGTCGACGCTGACCCGCTGGTACCGGCGACGGAGAAACGCCGCCACCGGCTCGTAATGAGCCAGCTCGGCGTTACGGGCGTTCTCGAATGCGTCCGGCGTGTTCTCAAACGGGCACGTGACGACAATGACGATAGCCTCTTCGCCACGCACCAGGACGAGATCCGGACGCAGGCCCGTGTCTCCGACGGCCCGGTTTTCAAAGGCCACCGTGAACTCGCGGGAGGTGGCGGTCCGGACGCGATCCACGATGGCGTTGTGGCGGGCCTGGTAGAGCGCACTGCGAGGCATGCAGTGGCACACCACATGCGGCAGCGTCTCCTTTAGGTACCCGCAGACACGGCACCGCTGGTCTCTGTCCGGTGCGCCCCACATGCGAGCGCCGTTGAGTGGGAGCAGGTTCAGGCGGGCCCTGTGTACGAACCGCCAGTCCGCGAAGGTGGTGAAGGCGCCCGTCCGCATAAAGAGGGAACTGGCGCGATCAGCCGCCACGCAGGCCAGCACCTTCCCTTGGTTGGGGAGGTCGTGCAGGGCGTGGTCCCGTTTTCTGGCCAGGATCTCACGCAGCGTCCGCATGACGCGGCACCAGTGCAGCGGAGTGATGGTTGCGTCGCCGCACGTGAGTCGAACGCCGCCAGGATCCAGGGTCCAGGCGACGTTGTAGTGGCGGGACGCCTTACGGGCATTCGTCCAAACGGACCGCAACTGGTTGGCCGGGACCCGGAACCCGTCTCCAAGCGATCCCCCGAGGTAGGCCTCCATCTTTTTTGTTGGGACTCTGCCGAGAGCAGCTATACTCATCTTTGGAGTAGTAAGCCATAGCTGCCTGGACGTCTATTTGGTTCAGCCGTGTCCTTTTTACCGCATTTCGTGCTAACCATATCCCGTGTTTTGTGCGCCAGCGTTGGAATCTGTATATCATGTAAGCTGACAAGTTTGCTATAAGCCCTTGGAGTTTTCGGCGCTCTATATCGCTCGGCGACGGTGTCAACAAACGCATGCGCTCTTAATACGAAGAACACGCTTCATAGACTTTCTTGAAGTTCCTGAACCACTGGGCACACACACTGGTGTTTAGATCTGATGGTTGAAAGTGGCGGTTACACACGTTACGGTGGCATTTCACGGTTACTGTAGAATTGCTGCTAAGTTGTCTTGGCTCTGCATGAACTTTGCTATTTTGTGCATGCAGCTTCTCAAGTCGCATATGTGACAATGCTTCAGGCGTGTTTACGCACCGCTCTTGACTTCTGCCTTTTTCTTCTTCCGGCAAAAACTCATCAGCTGTTTCAGCTTAAAAGCCGTTAGAAGAAGACAGCATATCACTAAGGCGTCTGAAGCAGTTCTGGCAGACGTGGTCATTGTTATGTGCATGGCGGGCAGCTTTCGGAAAAAGCTTCTGGAGGGCAAACAGGCCGATGTCTTCGACCTTGCGGAAGTTTCTTTGATAAAATATTTTCTTTTTATGCAACATCAGGTAATCTGAACAAAAAACTCTATCCCGGCTGAAGTAGTCAGCCATCGCCACGCTTCTGGAGGCTCAAATTACTGACAAAGCAACTGGCAATGCAACTATGCGTGAAACCAGCAGCACAAAAGTGATCTATCTGTCGTCTGTTCCTATGTCTCTCACCTTTATTAAGAGCAGACGTAAAACAGCGTTCGCAAGTATCCGCAGTGCGAATGCAAAACTGAAGTATAGTACGTTAAAATGAATTTCACAATGTTTTTGTCGATAAAATTACGGGAGGCGTAATCTTTGTCCCTACTTTGAACCATATCATCTAAAGCATTGCCTCCGAGATGCGGTGCACAGCAATTCATCTGTAGACCAGACGACGGATGACAACTTGCCCTAAAGCGTGTTCTCCAGTGTAATGCGGCAGTCTTCGTGCCCCAAATGATAAAAATGTGTTATGAATCCTTTATGAACTCATTAAACATTCAATTTTTTTACCCAACATGTTGCAAACACATGGCCGTCACAGCAGCTTCATCGGTGTGTCAGTAATGGAGAGGCGTCCCATATTAGAAGTCTCAGTGCTCTACGTATAAGAGTGAATTCAGATACTGTAGAATATCGTGTTCAAAATTGTTACTTTTATCTGCTAAAACAGCCTTTCTTCACCAAATGCGGTCACGTTTACTCGCCTTTGAAGCTCATTGCCGCTTTTCCGTTCCGATTTCTAGATTTATCAACTTATCAGCGCGTTTTCGAAAAGCTCTGATTTGTACCACAAATATTGTCGCTAGAAACAAAATAATGCAATATGTTTTTTTATATTACTGTATGATGGGCTTCGGTTGTCTATTTACGAGATTTTAAGAAAAATCGAAGATGGCGTTTTTTATTATTCAAATTTAAGTGGAGTACACTTTACCCATTAGGAGAACTTTGAGGCAATATATAAAAATTTAAGTTTGCCCTACGGCAGCAATTATTTATGTACCTAATGAACACACTATATCCTTTAAACGTGTCAAGTATTAAACTGCTGCTTGCATTACTTTAGGAGAAAAAAATGGGGAATGCATAACTTATTTTGAACTGTCGCAAAATAAGACATTTTAAAAAGCGATTTTCTTATTTCTACACACTTGAAACGGTATGAATTCATTCTTCATTAGACATGCATTTCAGGTAAAAAAAAATCTTCCTTGAAACAAACATATTTTTCTTTTTATAGCATCTGCAATTTTCGAAAATGACAGGTGACGAAATTGGTGCCTCCGTGTTGGTGAAGTTTAATATTTTTTTTCTCGTAAGTTATGCCGTTAATCATGAAACGAGGTTGACTTTCGGGCTACCTGGTGAAAGGTGCACGAAATATAAAATACTAAATGAAATCTAAAATATCAACTTTTGGACCCTTGTCGATCTCTCGTGGAATCGCCCATATACAACTTTCCAGTGTGCGTTGTTTGGGTTCGGAATGTTTTTGATATGGAGGTACAGAAGATATCAAGCGGTCAATTTCTTTCACCATCAAATAAATCAGCCATGTAAGTTGTGATTGGTGGTACGATGCTCGCTCGATGATGGGCAAATATATGAATGTATGGTCATATCTGACAAATAGTGGCATGCTCTCACAAATTTACAGGGTGTTCTGAAAATCCAGAACACATGCATGTGCTGCATAGCCGGACTCCGGAAGCGAGTATAGTTCCTGGATTTCCCCTTTCTTTGAATGCAGGGTAGAACAAACTGCCAACTATCTGCTACTCACGTATTGTTTCCAATCCATGCAACAATATATTGGGCCGACATAGCATAAATATTTTCTGACACACTATCCTTGTTACATGCTCTACAACATCACGCCAGCATATGGCCAACACGCCGATAGATAAGATGACACTATCACTGCAGACATGGGTGCGTCAATGGACTTCACAAATGCCTCATCAAAGGTCCAAGTTCCTAGAGTACATCTCCGTTAGAATAAAAGTAAGATGTTGAACGCAAGCTAACCACAATATCATCAATTTTACGCACACCAATGCTGCAATGAATTACATCTGAAGACTTAAGAACCTATTTAAACTGAATAAACAATTCACGGGACCCATTATTACAATGACCAATCCCCAATCTTCTCAATGATGGACATGCGCTGTCGGTATAATATCTGTCCAACTATTAAAAAACAGTGTGTCTATGCACTTTCATTTATTGTGCTCGTACTTATTCGATTTATTATTCTTTACTGTGCAGTACTTGACTAGTTCATTTGTATTTGTGCATTTCTGTGCATGCCCTTGTTTAACAACGTTAAGATTCAGAGAATGCGAAAAAATGCCTTCTTAATAATCTCTTGTTTTGGTGTTCCACTGCAACATATATATTTTCTTCCATATTCTTTTTTTCTTGCAGTGTTATCAAAGTATATATGTACAACTATTGAAGAACAGTGTATCTATTCACTTAAATTTTTTGTGCTCTTACTTATTTGATTTAATATTCTTTATTGTGCAGTACTTGACTAGTCACTTTGTAATTGTGAATATATGTGCATGCCCTTATTCAGGGTGTCCCAAATATCACACACCTTGATGAAAAAAACGGCGCTGCGCAAAGCACATTTAGTATACATTGTTTTCAGTGCACTGGAATAGCTACTGCTAATTTTTTCGTCCTTAAGCTGAAAGTACTTAGTCATACTTGTATTTGTACCGCGACAAGTAGTTACTTAATATCAAAATACAATTTGCATAAGTAGGCATGTAGAAAGGCACCTAATTACGCTATATCAGGGAACACACCGATTACGAGCTAATTTTGTGCAAGTTGATAAAGAAAGTCCGCGAAAAATGTAAAACGACGCATGAGTATAGAGTTCTGCGCATATTAGAAAGCTGCACCCTCAAACAGGCTCATTTTGAAATATCCACTAAACAGGAAAAATGTATGGAACGTCTTATCTGCTATTCTCCGGCCAAAGGAACTTGTCACTTGACTTTCACATATATATATGTATCACTCTTAGAAAAAAAAGGTGGCAGTACTTGCTAAACTTGGGGTAGTAATGATTTGTCACATATGTTACAAAACCATGGTAGTAAGAACGGTTAGTTTAACGGCGAGGGTGATAACAGTTACTACCCTTGCTGTTACTACCAGCATTTAGTAACTGGTACTACCCGAGCCGTTACCACCCATGGGATGTAGCTTTTAAACTTTTCAAGAAAGAATGTAGTGACCAATACTACGTTGTTTATTCATTTTGGCATAATATTTCTCCACTGCTTATGTTCGTCAATCAATGTCTCATTACTAGACAACTTTGGGTCATGAAGCGTGGTGCGTCATGAACGCGAATATATATACCTAACAAATTGACCATTTTTTACGCATACACGCAGTATGAAGTACGCATGGGGTATATATAGCCCCTACTTTGCAGGAGCAAGCCTGGCACAGGGAGCACTTGTGTTTCAGGATGAATTATAACAAATTTGAACATATAGCAATATATTTTACTACCTGGTTATGTATGTTTGGAGACGTAGCACAAGACTTTTAATTATACCTACTAATAAAAAATTGTATGTCCTATTTATTTGTTTTAAAAGGGTCATAAAAAGACATTATGAAGAGTGGCCGAAACAAGGTTATGAATTCCTTCTCAGTGCATTGGAATGCTTCACACGGCTAATATATCAGCGTTTACAGGGTAATATTCACTTCAGGTGTTTGACGCGCCAAAACAGTGATAGTGTTTAGAGACATGCCGCAGTGGATTGATTGTGACCGTTTTAGGGGCTGATTACGACCATCTGGTTATTTTGATGCGCTGGTCTTGTTAATATATGCTGTAATTTACCAAGATTATTGTAATTGTCTAATGCAACGCGTGTACACTTGCCTATGGTTCGTAAACTTGTACTTCTTCGTTTCGACAATATCAGAATCGCGTTTACATATCTCAGTTGCGTAATTTAAAGAAAATGTATTTTCTGAATCTATAGATATCTTCTGCACCATTTTTTTTGTTTCATGAGAATACGTCGAGACGATTCCTTTCTTAAATATTAAGAATCAAAATCACCCACTATTTTGGAATAAATAGTCAACAGCCAGGTAGCTAAAAAGGTAGTAATGGGACACGAAAGGTAGTAACAGATGCAGTTACTACCTCGTTCATTCCTGTTACTGTTTACTAACGTAGGTAGCAAACAGGTCGAAAAAGGTTTGTAACAGTAATAGCTCTTGCCTGTTTACTAACGTAGGTAGTAAACAGGTAGCAAAGGTGTAGTAA